ATTCTCCTGCCTCAGCCTCCTGAGTAGCTGGGATTACAGGCACGTGCCACCATGCCCAGCTAATTTTTTTGTATTTTTAGTAGAGACGGGGTTTCACCATGTTGACCAGGATGGTCTCGATCTCTTGACCTCGTGATCCACCTGCCTCGGCCTCCCAAAGTGTTGGGATTACAGGCGTGAGCCACCGCGCCCGGCTTTTTTAAATTTTTAAATTTTTTTAAATAAAGACATGGTTTCACCATGTTGGTCAGGCTGGTTTTGAACTCTTGACCTCAGGTGATCTGCCCGCTTGGCCTCCAAAGTGCTTGGATTACAGGCTGAGCCACCACGCCTGGCCTCAGAGGCCTATTTTTCTATGGCCTGTGCTAAGAATATTTTTTACATTTTTTAAGTGTTAAAAAATAAGGGTTTACAAATCCAAAAATATTTACTCTATGGCCCTATACATAAAGTATGCCAAACTAGAAGACTATAGTAAAATACTTAGAAGAAAATATATTTTTAAAGTATGTAATTAAATAAAAGTTTATATAAAAAGTAGCCAATTCTTTACTCTTCTAGCTTAGCTTGAAATAGAAACAACCTGCTTGCCTTTTCTTGTTTTTTTTTTTTTTTTCCTCAGAAGCTAAGAGTAAATTTTTTAAAAATCACAATTTTAAAAGCAGCCAGGCTGGGCACATTGCTCATACCTGTAATCCTAGCACTTTGGGAGGCCATGGTGAGCAGATCACAAGGTCACAAGATTGAGACCATCCTGGCTAACATGGTGAAATTCTGTCTCTACTAAAACTGCAAAAAATGAGCTGGGTGTGGTGGCAGGCACCTGTAGTCCCAGCTACTCGGTAGGCTGAGGCAGGAGAATCACTTGAACCTGGGAGGCAGAGGTTGCAGTGAGCAGAGATGGCGCCACTGCACTCCAGCCTGGGCGACAGAGAGAGACAATGTCTCAAAAAAAAAAAAAAAAAAAAAAGTCGGCCGTATACATTAGAAAACTGAAAACTGGTCAGTGACTCAGAAGTAAAAAAGAATGAACATAGAATCACAGAATTTTAGAATAGGATAGCGCCTTAAAAATCATCTAGTCTAGCTCTTACATTTTATTTTATTTTTTTTATTTTTTATTTTTTTTAAAGATGGGGTTTCACCATGTTGGCCAGGCTGGTCTCGAACTCCTGACCTCAAGTGATCTGCCCACCTCAGCCTCCCAAAGTGCTGGGATTGCTGGCCTGAGCCACCACGCCCAGTGCTCTTACATTTTAGAGATGAGGAAACTGAGGCCCAGACCCAGCAAGTGATTTGTCCAACGTCACACAGCTAATTTCCTACAAAGTTAGAATGATAA